CGCCATGATGCCTCCAGTGTCGTCACAGGCAAACACAGTCTGTTACAACTCCTTAGTCCCTCCAGGTCTTCGGAGGGCTCCATACCTGTCTGCATGGATCATCTTGCCTACTTTCGCCAATTGTAAAGGGCAGGAATGGTCACTGAGCAGGTTTTCTGTGATCCAGCAGACCGGGTAAAGGAGGAGTCAGAGTCCTCAGTGGTTTTGCAGGTTTTTATTGGGATTACCAGGTACACGGCAGGCAGGGGTGCTGGGGAGCCAGGAAGCTGGCAGGCCTCCCAGCCCCCGGCAGGTCTTTACTCTGGGCTCTCCGGCCTTCTCTCGGCTTCTGCTTCTCTTGCTTCTCGCTCGGCTTCTGCTGGCGTCCCCGTGACGCCGCCCTTAAAAGCCCAGTCTCAGCCCAGGTGAATCCCATCTACCTAGGCCCACACCCTACTCCAGGTGCCCGCCATCAGGCATGCATTCAGGACAAGGATCCGTCATCTATCCTGATGGCGGGAGGGCAGAAAAGCCTGACATTTTCTTTACCCTACACATGGAAAAGCCTAACTGCTCCTCTTCATGGGAGGGGTCTACCATCAGTGATTCCCTTGCCCCTGCAGGGGTGTTAGGGACTCTAAAGCTACTTATGAAACTACTTTGAGGCAGAATTCTTACTTCTCCTGCAGTTTTTGAAACCACCTCTCTAATGGGAATTTACTGCCCTCACTGCCAAGCCCACAACAGCCTTTGGATGGAGGAGTGAGTGAGGAAGAAACACAACCCCCACCCCCTACCCAGTTCCCCATCAGGAAGGAGGGGCCAGTATTAGTGCTGTAAGCAGCATCAGGGGACACCAGTTGAGGACTGACCACTGTGTGGTCACCAAGGGCAGGCGGCACTGCCAAGGTGCTAACAGGGCAGGGCTGCTGTGACGTCAGCTTAAAGTGTGCTTGGGCGCGTTCTGCATGCACTTTCCCCAATCCCCCCACCTGCCGGTGCCTGGAGTTCCTGATTTTGAAAATGGAGTTTCTAACACTGACTCAACAGAGTCGCGAAGGAACTAACACACTGCAGGTTCTCTGCTTTGGGGAAGAAGGGAGTCATGTGAGCCCCTCCTCCGGCGTTACTGTGTGTTCTGTCTATATAATAGAGGTACAAATGGAGACACACAAATGGAGACACGCAGGTCATGTTTACACAACATTCTTACACTGGTAAAGGGAAAGAAGTGCCTGTTGCTTCCTGCTTCTGCTTTCTTCTTGGCCCTACAGGGCAAGCACAGAACACAAGCCTGGTAGGCCAGAGTATTGGGGTCTTCTGAGCGCCCCATGAAGACTGTGGGAGGGAAAGGCTCTGCTTTGTTCTTTGAGCTAACACGGTTGAGGAAGCTAATGAATAAAGTGTAAAATAGAACAAAGCAGCTGAAGTGGTTGGAGAAACCATTTCAAAGGAAATATCCTGGATTTAGATCACATGTTTGGGGTCTGGGGTAAGTGTTCTTAACCTCCCTCCAAAAGACAGGTATTTGTAATGGAAGTGCTGACAGCCTTTGGCCCAGCAATTGGACATCCCACCCACTGAGCATCTGATTTGTGTGCCTCCCAGAGCTGAAACATACTTACCCTGCCTGCTGAAATTTACCTGAACATTTTTATTAATGGACCAAGGTGCTGTGTGCATTGCTTGTGTGTGCAATTAGAGTTCACTCTGCCTTGTCACAGGGCTGGGGAACCTTCTACACAGGCCTGAAGTCAGACTGCATGTGTGGGGGGTATGCAGCCTGCCTGCTCACCCACATTCTGGCTCAGCCACCGACATGGTGTGGCCCCTGTGTGAGGAGACTGTAGATCCCCAGCTGGTTCTTTTTTTTTATTATTATTTATACAAGCACTGGGTACAGTCAGAAGCACGGGAGGGTGAGAGAAGTCACCAGAGCCAGAGCAGGGAAGAGAACAGGCAGACTGATGAAATACACTGCTGAGGGGGGCAGCAGGCGGCAGGAGAGGTCTGCTGCACCATGTGGGAACCTCGCGGGCAGCCAGGGATCGAACCAGTGCTGCAGAGGCTGCGGGCAGCTTCACAGCCCAGCCCTCAACCACTGCGCCATCAGGGGAGGCCCTCCCAGCTGATTCTTAACCACCTTTACTACCTACCAGCAGCCCCCACTTTCATAGGCTCCCTTGCCCACTTTCTGTCCCCTCCCTTCTGAGTCCTGTGCATCCATCCAGGATTCTGCAACGCTCTCCACTCCAGAAAGGCTTCAACTACCCCAAGTGCCTTTAGTGGTGTCCCTTTTCTAAACCAGTCCTTTCAGGTTGTGCCTTCCCACTCTATGGTCTTTGCTTCTGCCTCCTTGACCCTGCCACACCTGGTGTGGGTGTGTTGGCACTCCCCCTGTGTTCTGTCCCCTCCCCTAACCTCTCAGCTGGTGGGTGCAATAGAGGTGGCTGGTGATCCAGGGAGGAGGTCAGGGTGACTTACTCTGCTCTGCCAACCAGAGCGCTTTCCATCCAGAGCCCCTTCAGCCTGGGAAGTTGCCTCTGCACGGGGGAAGCTGCATTGTGCCAACCTGCGGAGCACAGTTCACACACTGCCTGCTCCCTTACTGAACCTCACCCCCGGCCTGGACATCTCCTCCCCTAGAGACTGTGCCAGAGTCTAGCCCCGGTATAAGACTTGGGTGGACAATCCCAAGCTGATTCTACCTAGGCCCTACTCAGGCAAGTGCCACTCCACAGCCCTTAGGTGGCGACCTGCTTGGTGGGGAGGGAGCATCTCCCCTGGACCCCTCCCCTGGGCACTCTGGGCACTGGAGGTACCAGCAGGTGGCTGGCTCTGCTTGGATACACTGAGACTCTGGGTCCCCTGGCTTCAGGTTCGTTGGTCAGCTCCACCCTGTCAACTAGGCAAGAAGGGGAATATTCTTATTAGAAGCCTATTTCATGGCTGGTGGTACGACACTGGGCTACCCTATGGACAGTGGAAGCTGGTGGGTGGCAGGCTCCACCCAGCCTAAGATCATGCTTCTCTTTCTAGTCCTGATTTTCTTCTTTTCTAACTTCCTCATGGTGGTGGAAGGGGCAGTGTGCAGGGACACATTGGGGAGCTCTACTCCATCATGAGACTGCTCTGTCATGAATGATGCATCACCGAAACCCTTCCCATGCCCTATTCACATCCCATGAGCCACTAGAATCTGCTTTACCAACCTCTCAGGGAAAGGCATGGCTGTGCAGGCCTTGTTGGTCACACAGAAACCATGGTCAAGGTCTAGATCTTCAGGCAGATTTTAAGAAAACTGGTGCTGCTTCTTAAAAGTCCAAAGAGGGATCCTTGCACTTTGAACCCCTTGAGAAGAAACAGATGAGACTTGGGGATGTTCCTGTCTACTTTAGAGCACAGCTAACTCCTGGCCCTTTTTTCTGTCCCCCAGGGCAGACCAGGGCATGTCAGACCAGGGCATCACTGGAGTGCCTTGGCTACCTTCAGAAAGCAGAGTCAGAAGGCAGGGATAGTCCCAGGGCATTTCCCACAGGGCTGACACAGAACTGGAAGGTATGGGGCCTAGGAGCAGGCACTGCAGCTTCTGTTCTCACCAAAGTGTGTGTGCGCTGCTTAGAAGCTAGGCCAGGCACCTGAGTCCACTGGTGTGGGTGTCACATGCCTGCTGCCCAGTCCAGCAGGGCTAGGGTGTGCTGGCTAGACTGTGAGCTGTACCTGCTCCAGCTCAGGTGAGCCCTAGCACCTCTGTTTGCTGAGGAGAAAACAAACAAACAAAGAAGGGCTGGGTCCCTTTGTGTTAATTCCCTGCTTCCAGGGCAGGTGGTGGTGGTGAGGAAGGGGATCTAACAGGCATCAACTCAATTATTTCTTCTTCTGAAAAGACAAGGGAACTGGAGTTCAGGCACTTGCTTGGCACATGCTGTGGAGGCAGCCCCAGTGGACTCTCCCATCTTAGTCTCTTCCTGCCCTCCCAAACTCACGGAGTCACTTCCTCTGCTCTATTCATTTAGTCATTGCCAGTGTCCCCTTTAAGGATGAAGTAGAACCAAGTGCATCTGAGCAGGAATGGCTCCTTCATACACCTCAAATGGAAAACTTGCTCAGGATGGAAGAGTCAGGGGACACTGCATGTAAATGCGAACTGACCAGCTAAAACCTGGAACCCTATAGGATCGCAGGGCCCTCCTCCCACCATGGCCCCTCCTTCCTCCGGCCCAGCAAGCATGGTGCTAAGAAGAGAGGCTTGTGTTTGTGGCCTGGAGTACTCAAGTCCCAGGGACTTGAGCCTCAGCTCCACTTTTCTCAGGAGTACCACTCAGGACCAAGTTGTCAAAGGCAAAGTCTTCCCTGTGGCTGCATCTGCTGTTTCATTGAACAGGTTGGGAGCATGGGAAGGAGGAGTGTCCTGAGTCCTTGCTGAGTGGTTGGAAGTAGTACAATATCGACTCCCCTGGGATGTGGTAACATGGGTCTTGATAGCCCGAACAGAGGCTGTCACCAGAGAGAACATCTGTGGTTCCCACTCACATCCTGACTTCCCTGTCATCAGTGCTTAGAAAGTGCCATCTGGTCATAGGCCTAGAATTTCTACCAGAGTGACCAGAATTATGCAAGACAGGCCAGGAGCCTGTTGTCATGGTGAATGTGAGACCAGCATGGAGTATTCCCTCTGCCTCCCTCCTGGCCTCTCACTCTCTGCATGTCTATACCTCACAGCCTGGAAATGGGAGACCCAGGAGGAGACTGGTGCAGCATGGGGGAAGTCATGGTGGCCAGCCCTCAGAAAACACAGCTGCTCCAGAAACCTGTCCAATAAAACCCATAGATGTCATTTCTGTCTTTGTTGTGTCCGTCATGCGCCATTCATTCTGGATATCCCGTTAGGAAGCCTGGACCAGTTTGGATACATTGTCAGTTTTTAAGTGCACGTGCACGCTGGGCGAGCACAGAGAACTGGATGCAGCATGTCACCTCTGTTTAATGAAGCCTCCCCCTTCTCCCCCTTTCTCACGTAGCTCAACGACTCCGCCAAGCAGCTTATTGAGATGGACAAGCCGTGCCCAGCTGCTGTGTCCGACTGCCATGCCTCCTTGCCCTCTGACCCTGGCGCTGCAGCCAGTGTGGCCCTGAATCCCACTTTAAGCAGCACAGGGGCAATCAGTGCCTTTCAGCGGCGTGTGGATGGCAAGAAGAATGCCAAGAAACGCCACTCCTTCACTGCGCTCAGTGTAACGCACAAATCCTCACAGGCTGCCAGCCACAGGCATTCCATGGAAATTAGTGCTCCGGTTTTGATCAGCTCCAGTGACCCCCGGGCCGCAGCCAGAATTGGGGACCTGGCTCATCTGTCATGCAGTGCTCCCGCCCAGGTAATGTTGTCTGGGCCTGGACAGAGAGGATACAGGCCCTCCCTGGGGTCTCGGGGCTCCAATCCTCATCCTGGCACTCAGCATCCCATTCCCTGAACCAGCATGAAGGAGGCCCTTTGAGGGTCAACTGTGGTTTCCTCTTACTGTCCAGCTCAGGGACCCCTGCCTAAGCTCTGTCAGGATGTGTGTCTCCCTTGTCACTACCAGAGGAACTATGTGACCACCACCCTCAGCGTTCAGATGGTCCAGCAGTGCACAAGGTACTTTATAGTAGTCGTCAGCGTTGCCTTTGAATGACACTGTGATTTAGCATGAAAGTCAGCCTGTCTCAGTTTGCATTCTGTCCTTCTGGGAAAGTCTGTCCTTCTGTCTTGGAGAAAGTCTTAGTTTAGTGCTAGTATGTTTTTAGCATTACTTTTTTTTAAAGATTTATTTATTTATGTATACAATAACTGGGGTACAGGCCAGAGGTGTTGGGGGTGAGAAGATTCACCAGAGACAGAGTGGAGAACAAAACAGGCAGACTGACCAAAACACTCTGCTGAGGGGAGCAGCGTGTGAGACAGGGGAGGTCTGCTGCGCCATGTGAGGATCGAACTTGTGCTGCAGAGGCTGTGGACAACTTCATAGGTTGCATCTTAACCCCTTGTGCCACCAGGGAGGCCCCGTTTTTAGCATTTCTATACTATTTGCTGACTTCTTCTCTTTCATCAGAGAGAGAAGGGCCAGAACTAAGAACCAAAATTAACTATGTTGTTTAGTGCTTTTAGTATTGTTGTTATTGTCATTGATACCTTCCATTTCTAGGCATGGCACTGGTTCCACTAGTAATATGAAGGAAAAGAGAAGAGGAGGGAGAGGACTTAGTTCTGCTCAACCAGCCAAAAAAACCCTGGAGTCCCTAGGCCAGTGCTGCCACCCCTCTACCCCTACACACACACACACACACTCTCTCTCTCTCTCTCTCTCTCTCTCTCTCTCTCTCTCTCTCTCTCACACACACACACACACACACACACACACACACACACACACACCCCTAGGTATCTGGTTTCTCTGCCCTATAATTCATAGGTAATAAGTGCAACACTCAGCCTCCCTTAGTATTCCTGGGATTTGAGTGAGCAAAGCCCATGAATGTCAGCAAAGCTTTCTGGCACTTTTTTCCTAGCCTGGGGATGTGCCTCTCCAGGTGTGGGTGTGGAATATGGAGTTCTCTCCCCATCCTCCTGCCCCACTCTCAACCCTGTTTCTGTGGTCTGTGAGGTAGCATGACCAGTGAAAGGTCTTGGACTCTGCAATCTGGCCTGCTGTGGACAGGCCCCAGGATGGGAAGGCAACAGATTGTTCAAAACAATGTGTGCCTGCTTTGTTCCCCAAGGAACCTGCACAGTGCACTATGGGCAGGGCCAAGCCACAAGCACTTTGCCTGCCAGAGCAGTGGCTGAGGTGAAGAGGGTGTCTTGGCTGGGGCCCCTGTGTGCCTCTCCCAGTAGCTCCAGCTGAGTGTGGGTATGTAAGCTGCGCTCTGATGGTGACCCAATTCGCGTGAAGCAATTATGGATTGGAAAGGGCCACCTAGGGCAAGACAGTGTGCTATTGACAGACTTAATTCTATAACCCAGTGGGGCAAAATGAATCAAATGCAGATGAAACAGGCACACAGCATTGATCTGGGTGACTTATACCCACAGATGTACATGAGGACCAGGGAGCCTCTCAGTGGCTGAGTAGGGCTTGTCCACATCATTGATGTTGGTCCCTCTCAACTGGGTTCGTTTAATGTGGAAATCAAGTACGAGAATTGTGGTTTCTATGGAGATGACTCTGTAACACAGTGGCTGTTTCCCTGCCGTTCAGAGGGAGTACAGTGTGGCAGAGCACAGCCCGGGGTACAGGGCTATCCAACACCAGCTGGGAGCTGCTGTCCACGGCCTTGTCCATGACCTGTACTCTGGCCCTGACAAATCCATTTCCTCAAGCTCCCCCACTGACCTCCCCTCCTTCCTGGGCATCTTAGCCTCTCCTGCTGCATCTGAGTGGCACACTTGACCCTGAGGAGAACCAGTAGGTTTATTTCCATTCACAGAGGAGGAAATGGAAGCCCAGAGGGTGGAAGTAACTTCTCAAAATACTGTGTTCCTGCCCCCACCCTCCCCACTGGCTACCATCAGGATCAGTGTGGGCATGAGTCCAGGACACAGATGTCACTTATCTCTTAGTGTCCTTTTCTGTAAAATAATAGGACTAACCTCAGGCCTAAAGAAGACCAGGCAGGAAATGCAAAGGTGTATCTATCTATCTCCTTCCTTTCTCTTGCAGTCTGGGACCTGGCCCAGTGCAATGGAGGTAGAGTCTGGGACAAAGACCCAGGCACCCAGCTCACTAGCTGTGTCATCTGGGAAAGTTCCAGAACCTCTCTAAACTTAGAGTCACCGTGTCCTTTACCTTGAGACTTTGGACAGATGCCCAGTCTCTTCCCCTGAGCCTCAGTTTCCTTGTCTGTTATGCCCCCTGAGGAGCTGCCATGAAGGTGAATGGGTGGACAGGCTGGCTTCTCCTTGGGGCGTGCACATCAGCACTGGCTGTGGGCTTCTCTCTGTGGCTCTCAGAATCAAGGATTTTATCCCTGTCTTGGGCTCCTTTTCTGTTCTCATCATTGCTCCAGCTCCAGAATTCTCTTCCTGCTGTGGCACAGAGCAGACTGTGGATGTTCCTAAGGCTGCTGATGGATATGGGGCAGGTGACTAGGACTGCCTGCAGTCCTTCCTACTGCTATAGAAGTTGAGCTGCTGTGAGCATCCCGTGAACTGTCAGCTACTGACTGGTCCGTCCCCAGTGACAGCCAGCCAGGGTGTGCGGGGTCAGCACCCCTGGGCTCATTCATCCACCACCACAGAAATCTGAATACCTGACCTGGAGTCTACCGGGTGGGATCCAGTGCCAGCTGCATGCCATCATCAGCCAGAGGATTGAATGAGCTCAGATTCCAAGTCCCCTCAGCACAGTCCTCCCATTAGAGCTTGGCATCCTAGAGACCAGCAGGAGCCTCCTCTCATACCAGGATGTGCCAGTCATGCCTGCCTCCAGACCCAGAGTCCACAAAGATGGCCAGTGTCCCAGCATCCCCAGGCCTAAGGGTTTCCCAGACACAACCAGATGACTGCTCACCCTAGAATGTTTTTCTTTCCCTCACTGACCTCAAAATGTTTGGGGGTTGGGGGGCATTATTGTAAAGACATCGGCAGAAATATAAGATGGTCTTGACCATGCAGGGCCCATGCTGAGTACCAGGGACTCAAAAGCAGGGACAAGCCTGCAGCCTGCTGCTGCAGGTCACAGTGTAAGAGATGGAAGTGGAGGCCTGGATTTGGTGCTCCAGGCAGGGTCATCCATCGGTTCTGAGACTCCGGTGTGCTGTGTGCCATGCTAATTAGGAATCCCAGGGTCTGGAGGGCCTGTGCACAGGGGTGCTGTGTGGCAGTCAGCCTGACCCGCTGTGTGGGGCTTCAGTTTCAGGAGGGGTAGGTGTGCTCCAAATGCCTCAAATGCTGGCCAGACAAGAGGGACAGTGGCATCCTGGGGCCTGGGACACTTGACCTTGCCTGTCAAAGTCTAGACTAGGGACAGGCATGCCACTGTCACAGCGGTGGGCAGAGGATACACATTAGTGGGGTGTAGGGAACAAAGTATCATCGAGTTCTTTAAAGCTGGTGATTCTGCTATGTGGTCAGGATATCACACTGGGCTGGCAATGGGGCAGGAAGGGGGTATTTTTGTACCAAGTACTAAGAGACATATTCTTAAAGGCTGTCTAAAATGGGTAGGCAAGTGAGTGGAAGAAATGAGGAGGAAGCACTAGGGCCTGAAATCAAAGGTATTGATTGCATGTCCTCCCCTGCCTGGGAGCTCGAGGCCACATGGTGTCAGGAGAGGAGGTGTAATAGATGCTGGAATAATTCTCCTGTCTCCCTCTGGGAAAGCGCCAGCGTCTCCGGAAGCTCCCAGATCACATGGGTAAGTCCTGTAGTCTGTAGATTCAGGGTCCTAGTGAGTTGTTCCGAGCCTGGGTTCAGGGAAAGCGTGGAAAGCAGGGGACTAGAGGCGGCTTGTGGGTGCCCAGGCTGTTGGAGTGGTTAGGGCTACAGAAACAAGGTATGGGGCTGTAGATTATGCCAGGGAAGGGGAGAGGGAGTCACCTTTCTCCCTGCTCTGCTGTCCTCTCCTGATGCTGCTGCTATAGGCCTTATCTCATGTTTTCTACCACTGACATGCTTCTGTGTTCTCCTGCTGGATATGCTCACTTCCTCAGTCTCACCTCTGCCTCTTCCTCTGCTGCTGAGACAACCGGCCAAGTACCAGAGCCCATGCTCTACCTTCTTCCTTGACTCAGAACCACTGATTGCTGGACAAGACCCCCTTCCTAAACCCTTGCCTTTGCTTCTAGGACCCTTCCCCACAGCCTGAGTCTACTCCTTGTCTCCTCCCTGGGCCCTCTTTCTCTGGCCTGCAAGAGATTATCCATGTTCCCTTAGCCTTTCCTTATCCATCCTATACCCACTGTTCTTTGGGATGCTGATCCAACAATAGCTAAACCCAAACTGTCTGACCTCTACCCTCAGGACTTTTTCTAATCAGATTCTATTTTCCTACCACTTGATGACTTCACCTGATATGGTACCTAAATATCAATAGATGCCAGAAGAGCATAATTGTTCTCTAACCTCAAACCTTCCATTTTTTCCATCTTACCACAAATTCCCAAAGCTAAGGCCCCGTATCTTTTCCATTTTCCCTGCTACCTCTGCTATCCAATTAGCTCTCAGCTCTAGTTCAAAAACGTTTTCTCCTATTGCATTTGTCAGGATGGGGCAGGTTATCTGCTGTAACCAGCAGCTCCAGACCCCAGTGCATGTATGTGTATCAAGTGCTGAAGCAGTGGGTTGGGTGGCTATCTTGAATGATGACGGACAGTGGACAGCACATGGATAGTAGGGAAG